CTAAGACGGTGACCGACTATTCGACATAATTTAAGGTCCCATCCACCTAAATGTTGTCCAAGGAAACAACTACAGTCTCGTCCGCAACACACTTCCGAAGCTGAGATGCATGGAAGGTGTTGTGAATCTGACTTAGCTCCTCTGGTAGCTCTAAACGATATGCCACTTTGCTCACTCGGGCTATAATCCTGAACGAGCCTATGAACTGAGGCCCCAACTTTCCTCACTTACAAAACCTGATAATCCTTTTCCAGGGTGACACCTTCAACAATACAAAATCCCCCACCTGAAACTCAAGATCCGAGCATCGTCGGTCAGCATAGCTTTTCTGACGGCTCTGTGCATCTCGCAACCGGTCACACACCTGCTGAATCAATTATGTGGTCTTGAGCACCACCTCCATGCTCCCCATGACTCGATGCCCAACCTTGTCCCAACACACCGGGGTCCTGCACCTCCGTCCATATAACATCTCGAATGGAGCTCGGTCGATATTGGCATGATAACTGTTATTGTACGAAAACTCGGCCAGTGGGAGGTACGTATCCCAACTCACTTTAAATTCCATTAGACACACTCACAGCATGTCCTCCAGTGTCTGGATCTTTCTCTCACTCTGACCGTCAGTCTGAGGGTGATATGCCGAGTTGAAATGCAGCTGAGTACCTAGTTCCTCGTGGAGCGTTTTCAAAAACCAAGATGTAAATGTTGGGTTTTGAGCATTCTAACACTCCTAAGTGTACATGCAATCCTAAATACCTTGGATCTATGTTTTCTCTAATATTCAGGAAAATATGAACTTTCCAAGGTATTCATCCTAACTAGCAAAATAACACTGATTCATATGGATATCTCAAATTAGAATTACATACCTCTTTAATGTAGAATGTCTTCATGAAGCTTGAGTGCCTAGTGCCCCAAGTGTGACACCTCAAATGGTTCACACAACACCAAATGCACATGGAATGACTTGAGAGAAAATGGAACACTTCATAAAATCAGCTAGCCCTTTCTATCACACTTAGTGGCCGATTTTCTCCAAGAATAAGATCATTATATAGTTAGGGTTACACCATGTAAACCCTAATTGTCATGGCCTTTAATTTCCATGATCCATGGGTACAAATACACCATGGAGCATCCATGGAGCATCTTGTGGGTTTTAGCGCAACTTGACAATCCATGGAGCATTAGCCCACTATATAAGTGTGGATGATCTACACAATCAACCCATATATTTAATTAGTCTTCTTTTGATCACTTAATTAATTCTAGATTAATTCTTGATCAATACTAATTAAATAATCTTATTAATATATTAGAACTTATAATATATTAACAAACCTTAAGTGTTATTTCTCTCATTTTAGTCTATCCAAATGCATGATGCCATGCAACGCAAATGGACCATGTCGGGTCGGGTCAAGTCTTACCAATTATAGTTATGGACTTAGACATTAATCCAACAGTAAACCGGACATCCCTATCTGAAACCACCGACACTGGAACCCCGTGCCTATCCATGACTTCTCCAACATAGACATCTGCCAACTTTTCTGTGGATATACTCTCAGAGATCGGAATGAAGTGGGCACCCTTCGTCAGTCTGTCTATGATGACCCATATGGCATCCACTCCCCTCGCCATCCTCGGTAGCTTCGTAATGAAGTCCATAGTGTTCTCTTCCCACTTCCACATGTGAATGGGTAAAGGCTGAACCTTTCCATGAGGTCACAGATGCTCGGCCTTGAACTTCCTGCAACTCATGCACCACTCCACAAACCAGGCAATTTACCACTTCATGCATGACAACCAATAACTCAGTCTCAAGTCCCTATACATTTTTGTTGCACCTGGATGTATAGAAAACTAGGACTTATGAGCCTCCTCTAACAGTCTCTGCCTCACTCCCTCTGCCAATGCTACCCACACCCGGCCACACTGAGTCAAAAGGTCACGACTATCCTTGACAAACAAAGGATACTGACCCTGAATTTTCTCTGTTTTCTAGTTATCCTTCTTCACCCCCCTTAACTTGAGCCCCTCTGATCATATCCAACAAATTTGAAATCACCATCATCCTCATACAAATTTCTCTAATCGGGGACCCCATCGCCTTGCGACTCAAACCATCAGCCACCATGTTGGCCTTCTCTGGGTGGTATAGGATCTCACAATCATAATCCTTCTGTACATCCAACCATCTCCTTTGCCATTTTTTAAGGTTCTGTTGATCCATCAAATATGATGAAGCAAGGAATCGAGTATGAAATTTATCAGAGTTTCAAATGGTCAAAAAGAAGTATGCGAGATTTGAACACCGATGTAAATATGATTTATGGTTCTACTCTATTATGCTTCTCAAGTTTTTACTGAGTACAAAATACAAGTTCTGTTCAAGTTATTTTTCTAACTCTAGTAAACACTCCTATTTATAGGAGAGAAAAGCGTACAAAAAATATTCTAAGGACTAAGCATTAAGCTTTGAATACAATTCCTTAGAAAAATACATTACATAAGGAACAAAAAATAGAGCATACAAAGTCACGAAATACTTTGACTAATTACAACAAAAATCACCCTTACAATCTCCCCCTTTGGAATCAAAGTTGAAGTCTTCAATTGGTAAGAATTTGAATAGAGTAAAGCATGACCCTTCGAATCTCCGTGTACCAGTTAATAATTTTCTTCAGTTCCTTCTTATCACCTTCATTATTCTTCTTGCAATGGTTCATACGAACAACTAAGTTCGTATATTGCGAAGTGGAATATCTTTCCACCTCAGCAACTTAAAACAAAATTTTCTTCGACCTTCCCGACTTATCCTTCCCAGAAAAGACTAACCCAAAGGGTTTCTAGCATATTTCTCCATCAGCATATCTTTTAAGTTCTGCTTGAGTCTTCATAGGATTCATGGGAGCTTTTATTTCCAAACCCTTCGTAGTAGCCAACTCCACATCAGTCATTACAAGACATTCGTAATAATTTTCAATAAAGATTTTGATGTGAGTCACTCCAATCTTAAACTCATCTGGCTCAGTATTTTGCAAATACAAAAATGACCTTTCCTTCAGAATTAATGCAACTTGTATAAGATCATACAAGTTCATCAATGGAAAGTTAGCCACAGTGAATTCACATACTTTTCCATCTACCCTCACCACCACATACTTAATATTTTGGATTGTGTCTTCGAAGATCACATCCTTCTTTATGCTAATCACCTTCTTGATCTTCGTTAATGATCAAACTTCTTCAGCTGGCTTAGCTAGAACAGCATGAAATCTGATCTTTAAGTGTGTCCCTTCATCTTTTTCTTTAAATTTGCTCTTAGCCTTGAATTGTGGCATAATGAACATCATTTCATTAATGGGGAAATCCAATTGGCTTGAATCTGTGTTTGTAACAATGTAGCTTTGTTTGGGCTTTTTCTCAAATGTGTACATGTGATTAAAAGCAACTTTGGCTTCAATCATTTCACAGTTATAGTGCTTCGTAGGATCACCCTTGTTCAAACTAGGAGGGTCACTTGCTCTTTAAGTCATGATACTTTGTATCATTCTCATTTTCTCAACCTCCGCTTCTGCTTCTGCCTTCTTCTCCTCCTTAGACTTTTCAATCAGTATTTCTTTTCCCTTTGACTTCGCACCAGCTACATCAACATTTTCATTCTATTTGGAACCACTCCCTCCAACATCACTAGTTTTACCAATCACAATTCCTTTTGGTTTTGTGTATGGTACAGTGGTGACAACTGTTGAAGTGATTGGACCAGCTGTTGCAATGACTGGTTTTGATGATGGAATATTCGTTGAAAACACTTTCTCAACCACCTTCGAATCTCCTCCTGTCTTCAATCCTGCCATGATTTTTTCTCCCCCTTGCATCCCTGTGCTAGCAGGTGGGGCATACGTAGTTGGAAGAAGACTAGAGATGCGGGATAAAGGAGCAAGTTGTTGGACAAGTAATTCTTCGAACTTGGAAAATTTCCGGATCAAATCTTCCGAAGATAGTATGGATGAAGCAAGATTGGAAGATAGACTTTTTAGCTCTTATAGAAGTGCAAATACTTCCATGAAATTTTTATTGTTAGTTGTTGAAAGCTGAGTAATCTGTGGACTCAGGCTTTCATAGAGCTTTGCAAACTTTGTAACATCTTCGTAGATAATATCCACTTTCTTGTTGATGGATTCGAATTCAGTAAGAACAACCAAAATTTACTTCTCCATATCTTCACATAATTCCTAAAATTTTGAAATTTACATCTTTGCGCACCTTCTTAACATCTTGAACAAAGAGCACATGTCTTTCTTTTGCCACCATCTTCAAATCTTGTAAGTTTGATGAAAAATCAGACTTCTGTGACTTTACCCATGACTCATTGTTTTTATCAGAAAGATCAATTTTTCCATTAATCGGGACTCAGAAGTTTGAATCATTCCAGAAACTTTGGTTGTCAGCCTCCCTTCAAGCAATGACAACATGCCATCAACTTCCAAACTTGACACATCATGACCTCCCCCAATGTCAGCTTGAGATTGAATAATTAAATTGAGCTTTGTATTCAAAATCTTAAACTGTTTCATTGTCATTAGCATATGATCCGGGAAATCAGTTTCCTCTTCGTCAAACTCCAGGTTTTCAAATGTTCCCCCAAAACCTTCTGATTCATTTTCAGTTTCCAAGAATGAATCTTTCAGTGGGGAAGTAGTGGTAGGTGGATCAGTTGATTGTGATGAAAAGAGAGTTGTGAATGAATGTGAAAGAATGTGAGTAAATGTGGGAGAATCAGTGGTAGATGTTGTAGGAATAATAGGGGTAGTCTGAGAAGGCAAAGAAATGAGAGATTCAGAAACCACATTTGAAGTGTTACCTGTAGCTGCATTATTCAAAGTATCCTCACCCATGATGACATTTGTATCCATATCAGATATGTTTACAGAGATGTCTGAAGTCCGAGCCTCCATAGTAACTGTCTTGGCAATCGAAACTTCAGGTGGTTAAGTCACTGAAGTATCAGCATTAGAAGATTCGTTGATAAGAACTTTTTCTGGAGTCTCTAGAATAACTTCTATCTCATCAGCTGTAGAATCAGAAGAGAGAACCAACTTACGCTGCTTCTTCTTAGAAATATGCTTAGCCATGTCAGTAGCCATTCTCTTCTTTGATGATGGAGAAGCAGGGGCATGAATTTCCCGAAAAATCAGCCCTTGATGAGATACTTGTGTTTTACGAACAACATTCGTACCTGATGATCTTTGCTTACTCTTTGACTTCATCTTATTCGTCTGAATACACCAGTCTTCGAAGGAATGACTTCTTTTTTAGTGACCTGGGTATCAGGAATAATCGGCTCTGGCTGAATTGGCTCAGGTTCAATCACAGGAACCTGCTTTGTTTTCTTTGAAGACTTGACTTTTGTATCCAAAGACCCAACATCAGCTATCTTCGACTTCTTTGATTTCTTTTCAGATATCTGTGGTAAAAGAATCCCAATTTCCACAGAGGTATTGATGGTTGCTAAGTAAGAAACCAAGAGTGGGTTCGAAGGATCAACTCTCTTTAGCATCGCATCGGGGATACGAGCTACAAACGGAAACTCATCCAAATCATCTGTTGCATCCTTCGGATTACTATATGTGTGAAACACAAACTTCTCCTCATTAGCTAGAACTAATATCCCTTCTTTATCATAGAAATGTTGCAAAATCAAGCTCCAATACCTAGCACACAAAATGCCATGAACAACATTCGTGTTCTCGATACTCTTTTGAAATTCCTTCCACAGTTGATTCGAATAGTCCACCTGGAGATCATAATACAACCCTGCTACCATGGCGTATACCTCCATTCTTCCCTTATCAAGTGCTACTGTTTTGCCAGTCAAACAACGGAGAAAAAACCCAAAAAGAAAATTCCATACACATGGAAGCCCCGACTTCATAAAATCGCTGATTTTAGTTAACTGGGGTTGATGACCCATTTCGTTGAACATGTGGATGATTTGAGGAAATGTGAAAAAAACATATGGTGGAGAATTTTGGATATCGAGAATTTTGTAGAAAAGCTTTTGTGTCAATCTAACATTTTTTATCATTGATTAGAGTAAATGTAACAGCATCCAATCCTTTGGACTATGTGGCGGTTGATCCGGCTTGTAATAACCAAGAGAGAGGAACAAAAAAGGAGTTCAACATTGCTTTTGATAAGATAGAGTATTGCAGAGCAACAATCAACATTTTAAGTTCTTCAGGATACAGTGAAAGATTGGATTCCACCTGATAATTGGTACCCTGGATCTTCATGATTTGCAAAGAAGTAACATCATCCATTGTGTGAGAAGGTTTAGCCATAACATTTGCAACATTCTCCATGTTTAGGGTTTTGAAGTAAATGATGAACACAGAGAATTTGATTTACACATAGTATTTGGAATGAATAAAGCGTAAATGTATCATTAACCCTTGTATACCCTTTTATATGTAACTCATCAATTTGAAATCAAAGCGGGATATGCATTTAATGCTTGCTGATGTGTCACTGAGAAAAGCACATCATGATGATGATAAAGTAACCATGCGTCGAAAAGTAACTATCACATCGCCTTGAAAACCGGAAGTAATATAAAACGTCTCATCAAACAGCCTGTATTTATTGACCCAATGGAATTGTAACCGTCAGAACCCTTCGAATGGAGGTTAGGCTCTTTTACTTTTGGGTTTCGAAGTAAAGTCATTTTCCAGATTTTCGAAATCATCAGCCTGAGTTGGTATTACTCAAAACCTCAAGGATTTCATGTGTGCATTGTGTCAAAGAATTAAAATCAGAAGCAAATTAATTTTTTTTTTGGATATTTGTGATGTCAAAAATGAATTTGACACGAAGGCAGTTAAACCCCAGGAAAAGGTTGTTTCATTAATTATCAAGAGAGATAATCAACAGCTTGTGTATGTTCCCATGAAATACAATCGAAAACTTGTAGATAAGTTTCGAAGGGCATCTTTTGTAAGGTTACATGGGTGGCTAAAAACAATTTCATTACATATCAGCCTTAACATAAGGTGAGTAATTGTAACAGAAATTACTTGTGTGACCAGTGTAGCTAGTGACATGTGTGCTTTGAAAAATATTTAAAGTAACTTTGGGATTCAAAGTAAACTCACACAGAAATCATATTCATGAAAAATATTTATGCTGGATCTTGATGGGTAATAAACTTTGTGGGTTACGAAAATTTGATCATGATCACTAATACGAAATGAATATGATTTGGAGTTTTGAATATTGGTACTGAAACTAATGTTTCGTTTAAGCTGGAACATAGTTCCCCGTCAATTCCTTAATTTGGAAAGAAATTTGGGTTTCACTATCATCACGGTCTCATGACATCCGATCATTAACACAGATTTGTGATATACCTAGATTTCGATTGGTTTTGATTAGAAACCTCATGGATATATGTCTTCGTGTGTGCAAGTGTAAGAATTTTAAGATGAAAAAGATTGGTTCCTTAGAAAGAATGTACCTCTGTTATATTGGACCAAACAGAAAACTCTTAACTCATGTGAGAAGAGTAAGGTAGCTCATTGGACTATTGTGAATGTAAGCCTTATTGAGAAAGAAATCTCTGTATGAATAATTTCATTAAGGCTTTCGAACATTGAGTCAATTCGAGGCTTTAGACAACATGTTGTAGCATGCTTCTAGGAACATCTTAACTAGTTTTTAAAATTTAAAATTCAAAGAATAGAGATTTATACCTGACCCTAGAACCTGCGAACATTTGCCTCTTCATCTCTTCAAGAAAATCTACAACAAAATACTTAAAGAAAAAATAAAATCTTTTTGTTGTTTTTGATTTTTCGAAAAGAAAGAACAAAATAAAATGAAAATCTTTTTGATATTTTTGAGTTTTCGAAAATAAAGAACAAAAAACAAAGAAAAAATTCACAAAAATTACTTGTTGCAGATCTTTGAATTTTAAAATGGGATAAAAAAAATTCCAATCATACAAATTCGAAGCATTCGAAGAGTGATATATCGAATATCTTTGGAGGATTATATTTTTCTGAAAATTTGTTTGAAACATTAGGTTTTGACTTATTCGAAATATTTTGAGAGGTTTTGACTTTGTAAACAAATTTTGGTGATTTTGAATTGGACCCTCTTTTGTTTATTTAATTTAAAATCTTCTTTTTTTCTGAAAAACTTTTTGAACTTATATATTGAAATGGGTTTGATTTCTCATGTTTCAATTTTTGATATTCAATTGTTTGCCAAAAGATTTTCTTTTCTTGCTTGTCTTTTTGAAATGTTATTTTATTTTGAAAGTTTAACAATTTGCTCCCTGAATTCCTTAGAATTAAGTTTTGATCCTTGTTTAATTTCGTCAACCAAAGGCTTAATAATTTCATTTTCAACTTTAGATTTTTCAACCAATTTTCTCTTTTGTTTTTGTCTTTGAAAAAATATGAATTCTTGGTCAGGTTGTTTTCAGTTATGCTCTGATTTGCGAAGAACCCTTCTTCCGATGATTTTATGTTATCTTGTTCCACCATTTTCTTGAATTCTAGTTTGATACTTTCAACATTTTCAGTTGTTACAAACACTTGGTTCGGAAAAACAACATTATCAAAACACTTGAAGATTGGAGAAACCACAATATTCGTTTCTAGGGAATGAGCCCCTTTCTCAGTTAGCACTTTTTCGAATTGTTGTGTGTCTCCATACACTTGATCAACAACTATATGAGGAATTTCTTCTTCCTTTATAAATTTATTTTTCTTTGTTTGTTTCTCTTCTTTTTCATCATCACTATCATCGGTTTGACTGTCTTTTAATTCTACAAAGTTCACATCACAAACTTTCGAAGTTGATGGTTGATTAGTGTTAATTTCAACCAACAAATCCTTAACTTTTTCTTTTTCTTTGAATGATGATGAAACATTTATTATAGTTAACTGAGAACAATCAACATCTTCATCACTAATTTCACTAATAGTTACAAAATTATCCTCAATATCAGCAAAATTAGATTGACAATCAGATGTTGAATTCTCAGCCTTTTTCAAGATGTTAACTTGTTCTGACTTAGTCAAAGTTTCATTTACAATGTTAACCAATTCATTTGAATCAATGTATTCATCTACTTTAACTAATCCATATTTATATCTATCATCTGGAACTTTGTTAAAACAAGCAATTTCTTTTTCACAATCATACGAAATATTATCAACTATATCTCTTTCGTAAGCTAAAAAAGGAAGTAATTTTCTATGTTGTTCTTTGCTGATTTCGCATGAATGATGTAGTTCAGTCAATTTTCCATACAATCTTTTAGCCAAATTACAATAAATGTTACTCTTGGCTAACAACAGTTTAGAATCACTCGACAAGTTATCTCTATCAACCATGATATTAGTTATTTGAAGTTCTAAACAATCTATTCTAGCAATTTTCGAATCTAGTTTCTTTTGTGTCTCTAACAACTGATCAGACAGCTTCTTAGCCTCATTACTGGCAGATATCACTATCGAATCGAAATAAGTAACAGTTTTATCAAAGGAGATTAATTAAGAATTATAAGCATGTACTGGAATATTAAAAGATTCAAGAATGTTAAGTACCTTTTTAGTCATTGGAGATTTGTCAACAGCTTTTGATACGAAGCATCTCCCATGAACTTTGTATGCATCTTCATCTGATTCTTCCTCCAACTTCGCATACATTGCTCCGTGGGTCGGATGTCTCATCTCTTCGTCATCTGACCCAGATGACCAAATTTGATAAGTTCCATCTTCATCTTGTTCACCATGAGCAACCAATGAGAGATTCCTTGCCTTTGCATGCAGCTCCTCCAACTTCTCCACATGGTACGCTTCATCCTTCGTCTTATTCTTCTTCTCATATCTTTTCCTTAACATGCTATCATTAGCTAAATGATTAGCTCCATTGCAATAGTGACAATCAATTCTAGCATCTCCTTTCAATTTCTTCTCAGTTTTTCCTTCAACAGACTTTGTATCTTTCTTTTCTTCCTTCTTCTTCTCATCCCCAGCACTTTTTGTCACATTATTTCCTTTACTTTCAGAAGACTTTGACTTCAGATTGAACGACTTTTTAAAGAATTTTTTCACACGATTGTTAGAATAAAAAGCAACTGCCTCGTCGTCTGAATTCATGATGAATCCTTCGTCTTCATCAAAAATATCTTTCTCAGCTTCTCTTTTAGAAATCTTCGAAACACAAAGCTAGTTGACCTCCCAAATTTAACTTTGATTCTTCTGCAATTTCATTAACCTCACTTTCATGTGACTTCAGCTGATTGTACAAGTCATTCAAAGTTGACGTATCAAAGCTCTGTTGATTTTTAACCATCATGCTTACACTACACCATTCCTTTTGCAGACCCATAACAAATATGCGATTGAATTCCATGGCTGATATGGTGATTCCATATCGATTGCATCGATAGATTAGTTCATTAAGACAATCGTAGTAAACGTCAATTGTTTCACCATCTTTCTGTCTGAAATCCTTAAGTTCCACCAAGCATTGTTTTACTTAATTAACTTTTGTCTTTTCACTCCCCTGAAACTTCTCCTTGAGATTGTTCCAAATGTCCTTTTCTGTTGTACAACTCCTTACATAGTTGTAAACAACAGGAGGCAATGCTCCTCTTAGCTCTCTCATGCATCTTTTCTCCAATTTTTTAAGACGATCAGATTGATTCTCTACCTCGGAATTTCCAGATGATGCCCCAATCGGTTGAACATTTGATGGTGGATTACGATCACCAGAAATACAGTTCCACAGCTCTTCATCCATACCATTAGGATAATCCTGCATACG